ACGATGGGATCAGCAGGATGTAGCCTCATTGGTAAGTGGACAGGCATCTGTATAATTTTTAAGTATTTTTTTATTGGAAAATCAGATATACAGAGAGGAAGATCTTCTGTCTGCTAATTCACTCTCCAAGGGGCTGTAACGGCCCAAGCTGAGCTGATCTGATCTGAAGCCAGGAGTCAGGAACTTCCTCCAAGTCTCTCATGCAGGTGCAGGGTACCAAGATCTTGGTACAAGATCTCCCACAAGCAGGGAGCGGGATGGGAAGCAGGGCAGCCAGGATATGAACCAGCATCCATATGGCATCCCAGTGCATGCAAGATGAAGACTTTAGCCACTAGGCTACCTCACCGGGCCCATCTGTATCATCTTAAAGTTTAATCGATAAACTATCCAAGAAGAAAGTTTGAAATCAGTTGATTTCTTTAGCACAACCTAGATATTTATGCCAAAGGCAAAGGCAATTTAGCCTAAGCAGAGCCTTTCAGACCTCAAGGGCACACACTCTGCTGGACAGCAGAACCTCCACAAAGCAAACCTGCCAACAAGTTCCTCCCAGGGCAAGAGTTACCTGGGCATGTGAGCAAAGGAAAAAAAAAAATGGCAGCAGGCTCCAATCGTCCTGTCGACGCTCTGGACCAGATCAGGAAATCACATCTCGTATCTGTTGACAATATTCGACTGACATTTTAAAATTTCATTTACAATGCATCAAACTTTAATTATCCCAGGATATGCTAAGATTCAATAAAAAAAAAATAAGAGTTGAACTTCTAAACTTCATAATATGTTGTATTAGAATGGGCCGAGAGAGTCTGGCTCTGGGTTTTCAGTGGGTTAAACCATAACACACAATGCCAACACCCCACAAAAGTACAGTTAGAGTGTCCCAGCTGCTCTGCTTCTGATGCAGCTTCCTTCCAATGCACCTGGAAACACAGCAGCAAAAAAAAAAAAAAAAAAAAAGTGCTTGGGCCCCTGAACCCACGTGGGAGACCCAGAAGAAGCTTCTGGCTCCCACACCTTGCCCAGCCCCTGCCAATGTGGTTATTCGAGGAGTAAACCCATGGATGGGAGGTTTCTCTCCCTCGCTGAAATTTTGCTTCTCAAAGAATATAAATAAATCTTTAAAAACTAAAATGGAATATATCACAAGTTTTATGCACTGGCTGAAAAAGCCAGTCTTACCTGTGTGAAACAAGCCAAGGCAAGCATTTCCATCCCTCTGCCACTTCCAGGTGAGGAAAGTACAATTTCCTTGTCTATTCTGTCAACTGCCGTGTCCTTGAGCAATAACCAAGGAAGGAGATTGGAAAAGATTAAATTATCCGGAACCACCACCCTTCCTGGGTGGCCCAACTGTTGTCGGAAATAAATCAGACACACCAGGAAGGTGACCCTGACAGGGCCAGGCGATGATGCTGAGCCATGCCGGAGGCAGTCTAGACCGCAGCTCAGGGCCGGGCCACCGACCTACCCCGGGGGATCTTAGAACACCCCTGTCATCCCCTTACTCAGCGCTGTTCACCCTCACAGGTGCGCCAAGCCTTCTGTTAGCCAGGAAATGGAACTCTCCCAGGCCAGAAGCCCTCCCAGGGGTGGCGTTTGTGTACCCGGAAGGCAGGTGCAGCCAGCAAGCTTTCATCATCTCGGCAGGACCCGGGCACCCTCGGGGCTACAGGAAAAAACCTTAGGCAGCTTTAAGACGTGGCGGGATGAGAAATCCCTAGAGGAAACGCAAGGGCTGAACGTGCGTTCCGGGTCCTCCCAGCCCGACTACCTTTTAGCCCTCCAGAAACAGAAAGGAAGCTGCACATTGTGGCTCCATTCCGCCAGCGCGAGCCTCAGCAGGCCCGGGGCTGGGCATGCTGCCGCCTGCTCCACCGCGCGCCGGCCCGTGCTGCGGGGGCGCGTAGGGCGGAGCCCTGGCCCCCAGCGCACTGCGCCCGGAGTAGGACCGGCGCCTAGCCTCGGCGGGAAGCTCTGGGCACCTGGGCTCCTGCGCCATCGCCTGCCGCAGCGCAATAGAGCAGCCGTAGCCCCTGGGTGCTCTTGGCCAGCGCGAACGCCCGGCTGAACTTGGAGTGGCCTCCGCCGGGTTTCCAGGGGCGCGTTTTCCCGCGTGCTGGCCCGCAGAGTTCTTTGCACGCCTCAGACTTCGGGAAAGGAGGTAGGTGCTAAGAGGCCAGCGCCGAGGCTACACAGGGCTGCACACGGAGCTGACTCCGAAGCTCCATTGCGCCCTTAGCTCCGACAACCCCTAGCATTTAAAGTGGCGGCTGAACTGAAAATAGTGGCATTGCAGTGCGTTACCTTCTCTGGCCCTGCACCTTTGGTCGCTGCCTTTAATGGGGGGGGAGGGGGGGGACAGGTGTTTGTCCACTCGGCATCTGCAGAGCTGACAAGCGCCCGGACAGTGTGACCTGCGGACCTGGACCTTCCTCCCAGCGGGAGCACTGGGAACTTTCTTCTTTCTCCCTGGCATTTTGCGCGCGCGCAGCAGCCGAACTCGCCCCGGGAAGCTATAGTGTGCAGAAGCCCTTGGCCCCTTGCTTCGGTCTCCTCCGATGCGTTTCGGGACTGAAGTTTGCGGCGCTCCCGAACAAGTAAAGGCTTGCTGCGGATGAGAGGTTCGCTCAAAATCGGAGGTGTGGAATGATAGGGAAGGAATGTGGGGAAACCAGATTGTGCGATTTTAGACTGGATTTTTGGCGTAAGGAAATTGTGTATCAGCTGAGATGTGGTTTGCGCTCCCAAGTTAGAATAAGGAGTACATTTGTTTCCACTACCTAGAAAACCAGCAAACAGGAATTACCTTGAAGAAGAGGCCTCTTTTCTTTACGAGCAAAACATCTTTCCATAACTAAATCTCCAATCACAATGTTTTAGACATTGAAGGATCTTTTAGTCAAACTGTCCAATGCCAAGTTTAGGAGTTTGAGCACAGGTTCTCTGTTGGCCGCGCTCTAGATCCATGCTGATATTAATGCCTGTTAAAGGCTGACCCGAGTTCAGCTCCATGAGGGCTTAATTGTTTCTCGGGTGGCAGCCTGTTCCAGGACGCATGAGAACCAAGCAAGGGGAAGTCCTGGATTTCCATCTAGGCTCCACTGTGCAGGTCAACTCTCAGACTGTGAGGAGCTTCCTGCCTTTCTAAACCGGGGTTCCAGAGGTCACACAAGCACCGGAGCATGCCCCCCAGTCAAGGCTGCCTGCCTACTGATGGCACAAGCAAAGGGAGGGGTGGTCGTGGCCCAACACAGCACGGGGTGTGAATCCACAAGGAGCTCCCCAATGCAGTTCAGACCCGTGGTGTCTGTCCTACACTCGCTGAGGTTTGCAGTACTCGAGCATTTCGTTTCTGTGATTCGAGATTCGTCCCATGTTTGCAGTGATGCAGTTTTAAATACTTGGATGGCTCTGGATTGTTTGGTTGTTGTGTATGATTTAAAGGGCTGTGCCTCAGAGGTCACCTGTGTGGATGGGAAGAAGGAACTGAGTCCTGCCGCTGACGTTCCACTGCGCTGTGGCGGCTCCAAGTGTGCGCCTTGGGTCAGCACCGGGTGGCGCTTGTGAGGAACGTGGGATTTGGGTTCCTGCCTGGCTGCACAAGGACTTGTGTTTACCGAGATGCGCCCCCTCCACTGGTGCGGGGAGTCCCAGTGTCTTGGTGTTTCCCAGCAGCAGCCCTTATGAAAACATGGATCTCTTAGTAAAGTGGAAAAAGATTAGTTAGCATGATTTAAATGATTTTTCTTTCCGGAGAGGACGTGCTATTTCTTTCTACTTAAAAGTAAGAGAGGGCTGGCACCTCGAGTCCTGGTGAAGTTCTGTCCGTCATGGATGCCGGGGTGCAGTTATCACCCCAAGCTGCCTCCCACTGATACTGCTTGGTTTCTTCCCTCCTCGACCCTCCAGGGGGGAAACTGTGGGCGTGAAGTTCATATCCCCATCTGCTTTTTTTTTAATGTAAAAGCTTATTTATATGTTTGAAAGGCAGTGTTTCAGAAAGAAAGAGCTCTTTCTTCCACTGGTTCACTCCCTGGATGGCTGCAATGGCTTGCCAAAGCCAGGAGCTTCCTCCAGGTCCCACGCATGGGTGCAGGGGCCCAAGCACGTGGCCCATCCTCTGCTGCTCTCCCAGGTGCCTGAGCAGGGAGCTGCATGGAGGAGCAGCTGGGATACGAACCAGCGGCCCTGTGAGATGCCAGCATTGGCATCCCATCTGTACTTTGAGATGTTCACGTTGCATGTCTGTCACTCCTTTTTTCAATTTTTTTTTTGCCAAAATTGCATCTAAAACCTTAATTCATACATTTATATATCAGTTTATATGATATGAAAACAGGAACTTTAAATTAAATGTATAAATTGTATTGTAATATCTAAAAATAGAAATTTCACTGTGCTCTTATGTTTTGAGCTTTCTTACTAAAAGAACCAAGTACTTATATAAGGGAGGAATGTATTAATGTATTGGAGGTGTTAGAATTAGAGGTTTATAAATCCGCTTAGCTTGAATTTGTACACAACAAAATGTGTTCGATTGCATATTTAAAACCTCTGCATTTTATTGCATGCTTACTCTACCTCAATAAAGTAGATTTTAAAGACATATATTGCGGAGGCTTGCTATAGTTTATTACTAGATGCTAAAATAGTTCAGAGAAGGTCATGAAATGGGAGGGGCGGAAATAAGTTCGTCGTGTGGACAAAGAGAAGGCGTGGCCAAGTGGTCCTGCAAGGTGGCTGAGCAGGCAGAAGAAAGACATCAACTTCAGTGGCTGGAAAGTAAGAGCATTCCAAGTTAAGACGCTGACTTTCATCTCTAGGGCATGGGGCACACCACGGAGTCTTTTGAGGAGGGAGTTAAAATGACAAGCAAAAGCATTTCTAAGCAACTTTTGTCGTGTAGAATCCACCAGCATGTTCCAGTCCCTTCCTTATGTTCTGCTCCATGTCTGATCTGCCTTTCCACCAGCCAGACACCTGCACGCACCGCGATGCTCTCGTCCAGTGACTTTGCCTCCGCGTCCTGGGAGCTGGTGGTGCGTGTCGACCATCCCGATAAAGAGGAGCAGGAAGAAGTCAGACTCAGAGTGTCTGGAGACCTGCACGTCGGGGGAGTGATGCTCAAGTTAGTAGAACAGATCAGTAAGTTGCTGTTTCCTTACGCCTCTGTATGAGAAGCCCTGTTACATCCCCAAGGACCGGGAGCTGTCTTGTGTTGTCCAGGGCTCTGATCTTTGAGCTTTTCTGGTCGCTCATCTTCTAAGGGCCCCCAGCAGCAAGCACTCCCTGCCTCCCAATCTCTCCCAGGAAAAGGAGGCGAACTGGGTGGTCCTGCAGGAGCCATGGATTGGTAGTCACGCTGGGGCAGCCTGACAGCTTGGTGGCAAGCTAAAGCTCCTCCGTGGATTTGATGCTGTGTTTCTGCAAGGATGCCCATTGCACAGGGGCATCTCAAGTGGCGTGAGGTGGCAAGGAATTAGGATACTACTCAGTTCTCTGCCATGTCAGCTCTGTGTCACCCCAACACTTAAACTCTGCGTTTAAACACAAGAGCACCAATATCACAGGCCCAGAATTTACTTGTCTGATTGTCTTAGCATTTCCTTTTATGTCCCATCCCCTCATGCTGGCTTCCCCTTTCCACTAGTGAAAGAAAACCCTTTAGATGGAATTTACATGCAGAAAGTATACCTACCATACCTCCTATCTGAGCACGTGGCTCCATTCGCACCTCCTACAACACACTCCGACTTCCTACTCCTCGCAGACTGGGAGCAGCAGGGTGTGGCTCAAGGTTGCCATCCAGGAGAGGAAATTGGATTGAATTCCTGCCCCTCATCCTTGGTCCAACCCCATAGGCCCAGCTTTTCTGGGTATTTGGAGACTCTCTCTCTCTCTCTCTTTCTTCTCTCATGTGTACACACTCACTCGCTCTCTCTTCCCCTAAAATAATTACTTTTAAAAGCCTTGACATTTGAAAAAACAAAGACATACCAATGTATTCATCTACTAACAGCACTGAGAGAGGTTTTCTTACCTGGGACCTCTTAATTTAGCAAAATAAAGGCTTAAATACTTACTTCAACACGATGAAAGGGAAAGTTAATATTGATATCCATGCTTCAGGACAGGAAAGCTTCTATGTTGATGCCTGCATAGAATGGGGTGAACTTTCAGCTCTAATTTCCATGTAGTTGCTTTTGAAGATGGGGGATGGCCATGTTGCTCAGTGCTGCACGTGATGGATAAGACTGAGGTGTCAGTTTCGGGGTTCCCTGGTCTGGGAGGTGACAGGGAACCCCTGGTCCTCCAGCATGATGCTCTGGTGGAAGGATACACTTCTACAAGAGAAACAAATTTTACTACGTGAAGCCACATCCTCCTGGCCTTCTAAAAAAGATGGTAACATCAAGGGATTTTAAAGACGTTGGCATTTATCATGAGCAAAAATGCCGTGATCCTGTTTTTTCCCGCGGCATTTCAATGCGGGCGAGGGTGACATTCACACGTTTCCTCCCTGCCTCGCAAGGAGGACCAGGAGCAGATAGTCCTCTGCCGGCTCCAGTTTTTGCACTTCGACCATGCCATCCCCTCCCCCGCCCCCAGAGCGCCTGGCACCTGCCCACTTGTCTGGCTGGCGCTCTTGCAACTCCTCCGTGTACTCTGTTTTTGCAGACCTCGCGCAGGACTGGTCAGACTTCGCCCTCTGGTGGGAACAGAAGCGTTGCTGGCTGCTGAAAACCCACTGGACCCTGGATAAATGCGGGGTGCAGGCCGACGCCAGGCTGCTGTTCACCCCGCAGCATAAAACCCTCCGCCTGCGCCTGCCCAATGTGAAGACGGTGAGACTGCGGGTCAGCTTCTCCGCCGTGGTGTTCAGAGCCGTCACGGACATCTGCAGGACCCTGAGTGAGTACCCTGCGGGGCTCTCTGTGGACTCCTAGCAAACAGGACAGAAAACCAAAGTGAGTCTTGAGCTCACGAGAAGACTGCACGGCGCAGGAGCCCGCTTCTCTTGGCAGCACACCTCCAGCCCAGGTCTGCGCACTGCAGATGTCCGTTAGGTGTTAAACCACAGAGAGCATCACTGGCGTAATTCAGATTCACTTCCGCCCAAAGGCGGAAGAAAACGGCAGAGCCAGACCATTCGGAGAGCCCGCCCCCAATTCATTCTCTAAGCTATATTCAAATCATGATTACAGTCAGGGCAAACAAAGGCGTGCTGTGATGTGAAGGTAGCGTTTTGGAGTGGTGTATTGCAATGCCTTAATTGTTTCATTAACACCTGGCTCTGCTAAGCTGCAGGGTCTACAAAAATCATTCGGGAAGCCAAAAAGTGCACAGACTTAGGACTGGAAACTCGATTGTCTGGGGATTGGCTGTCCCACAGTCTCAGCATCTGTGGGATTCCATAAACGGAGGGAGCCTTGTGCCATGATGATGTTTAGATTTTCTGAAATTGTATTGTTTAGTGCCAGGATCAAAAGTTGGCGTTTGAGCACAGAATACTGACTGTGTTACTAAGAAATCTGTCTTCTTCGTTAAGCTGGAGAGCCGCATCACGCACTCCTGCATTTACTCAGCGAATGTTTAATGAGCACCTACTGTCCCCCTGACCTGTGATGAGTGTGGGATGTACAAGTGATACAGGGGACGGGACCACCTGGCCCCTGGCAGACAGGGTCAGAGCTCAACCGATCCGTGTGACAGATAAGAGCAGAAGACGGGTCATTGAGAAGGGGTGGGTTGTCCAAGGAGGGGAACGGGCCAGCAGGAGGACACAGGGCAGGAACTGCTTGGCCAACAGCTCTGTTCCCAGCTCCTGACACCATGCTGGCACGCGTTAGCTGCTCAGTATTTGTAGGGTAAATAAATCAACCCCCAGGTCCCAGCCGTCTTCCTGATGCCTGCTGGGCAAACGGCAAGAACAAATGCACAGTGTTTTCAATGAGATTCTAGCAAGGATGTGGAAGCAGGGTGGTTTATGTTAGGTGGAGCTCAATGAAGCCGTAGCCTCCACACGCTGCTGTGGGTTGGAGGCACATCATCATGGCGCCCGACACTTGAGATTTCAGAAGCAGCACAGCACTCCCATGTTGCCTTTTGCTGGGGAGACCACTCATGCTGATCCCAAGGGCTCAACTAGCATTTCTCTTCTTTTATTTTTTATAATTTACTTTAAAAAAACAGCTGTAGAGAGGGAAAGAGAGGCAGAGAAAGAGATCTGCCATCTGCTGGTTCACTCCCCCAAGTTGCCAGAGTGGCCAGGGAGGGGTCCAGCCAAAGTCAGAAGCCAGCAGCTTCATCTGGGTCTCTTACATGGACGCAGGAGCCCAAACACTTGAGCCATCCTCTGCTGCCCTCCCAGGAGCATGAGCGCGGACCTGGATCCAAAGTGGAGCAGCCAGGACTTGAACTTGTACTCCTCGGAGATACTGGCCTCTCAGGAAGCAGTTTACCTATTACACCACAACATCAGCACCCCCCCTCCAAACTTGGCATTTCTGATCACTGCTTTTTATATCTAATCAATTAAAGCTAACTCAAATTTGGAGGCTGTTGGGATTTCTGTTTTGCTGTCTGAAGTTTCAGCTCATCACGAGGCTGCTATGTCTACTGTGCACTGAAGTGGTTGCAAGTGTGTCCGTCAACCATGCTCAGTGTGACCACTGCTCTGGGTCTGGCGCTAAGCCCGGAAACACCCACATTCCTTGGCTTTGACCTGGGGCAATGGCTGGACAGGGCAGTGCGTACTTATCTGCTGGTCTGATCAGCATTCAGAAACGTATCCAATGAATGAGGAAGAGGGGTTTGGGTTCCAGAAGCAAATGCCAAGATAAGCCTACAGGTGCAGATAGTTTATTTGGGAAGTCATGTCAGGGACTGTGGGGTGAGGGTAGATAAGTGAGATGGGAAAGAGGTCACCACTTAAAGAAAGAGCATGTCACCCACCAAGTCACACTAGGATCCGCTCAGGGACGCCAACAGACAGACCTGACTAACAGGGCTGACTAACCTCGAGCACAAAGTCTCTTTGCCCCACTCTAATCCCTCCCTGAGAGCTGCTCTTGGGGCCCATTCATCCCTGCCCACGTGGGTGTTTTGCAGGCTCTGGCTGTGGGATGCTGGGTCAGCAGGCTTTGAGATGGAGAGGAGAGAGATGGGGAGGCTGGCCACAGGGCTGGAAGGAGCTGTTGGGTGGTGTAAAAGTTTTCAGCTCCTGGGTCCATAAGGGAAACAGCAGGCATGGCCCTTGGTGGTGTTTAAAAAGCGAAAGGGAAAAGAAGGAGGGTAGAAGAAGAGAAAAGTCGATGGTAAGTACATGACACAGAGAAACAAACAGGGCAAGTGTTTGGCACAGTGGCTAGCTCCCCACTAGCTCCCCACTAGCTCCCCGCTAGCTCCCCGCTAGCTCCCCACTAGCTCCCCACTAGCTCCCCGCTAGAATCCCTTATGGCAGAAGCTGGAATAAGTCTCTAACACTCTACTTCGCATCCAGCTTCCTGCCGACCTGAGCTCTGGGAAGCAGCAGCTGATGGCTTAAGTACTTGGACTCCTGCCTCCCATGTGGGAGACCAGGATGCAGCTCGCGACTCCTGGATGTGGCCCAGCCCTGGCTAGGTGCAAAAGTTTCAGTAGTGAACCAATGGATGAAAGAGCACTCTCTCTGCCTTGTTCTGCATCTGTGTGTGTGTGTCCTCCACACGAAATGAAACAGCAGCAAAATGCTAACAGTGGTTGAAACAGAATGGTAACACACATGGAGAGGAGTTTTACGCTATTCCCTTTGCTTTGGTTCCATTTAAAATATTTTCATCAAAAAAATTGAAAAACAAATCAGGACTGAGTCTCCAGTGACTGTTTCTTCCCCTTCTGCTCCCTCCCCTTCACGGGTGCCATCTTCAGGGATGCGTTCACTTCTTAGGAATTTCCTTTTGCTTTTCATCCTGCTTCTTTTAAACTGTGGCTTAGTGGCTAAATGCTCGCTTTGCACGCACCAGGATCCCATATGGGCACCAGTTCATGTCCCAGCTGCTCCGTTTCCCATCTAGCTCCCCGCTTGTGGCCAGGGAGGGTGGTAGAGGACGGCCCAAAGCCTTGGGACCCTGCACTCATGTGGGAGACCTGGAAGAGCCTCCTGGCTCCTGGCTCCTGGCTTCAGATCAATTCAGCTCCAGCCATTACGACCATTTGGGGAGTGAATTGGCAGATGAAGATCTTCCTTTCTCTTTAAATCTGCCTTTCCAATAAAAATAAAATAAATCTTTAAAAAAAAGTTGAATTTGTTGTTTGTTATCTTTTATTTTATCTTGTATTTAGATATCAGAAGATCGGAAGAATTGTCCTTACTAAAGCCTTCTGGTGACTATTTCAAGAAGAAGAAGAAAAAAGACAAGAGTAACAGGGAGCCTGTGATTGAAGACGTCCTGGACCTGGAGTGTTCCTCGACAAGCTCAGGTTCACCAGGTGCGATCTGTGGCAGGTCTTTCATCATTGTTTTGATTTGTGATTTTAGAGGGGAAACACATCGGGGTTACGTACATCTGACACCCCCCAAGCAAAGGAGGAAGAAGATTGTAGATTTTGTAAACATGTCTGCTGAATATTTTTTATTTAATTTGAAAGGCAGAGAAAGCGAGAGATAGCGAAATCTTCCTTCTGTAGATTCACGGCCAGGGCTGGGCCGGGCTGAAGGCAGCAGGCCAGCTCTCTCCCAGCAGAGCTGCTGGGACTCCCATGCTGTGACAGGTGTTGGCAGTATCACAGTGGTAGCCTGACCCACTGTGCCACAGTGCCAACCCTAGTCATTTGTTCTTTTAGCATCACATCTCATGCTGCTGATGTATGTGAAGTTTAGCATAGCTGGGCATGAAATTGGGATTTAAAAATGAACGCTGTTTAGAAAAGAGATCTGCTGGCGCTCTTAAATGGGCATCTCTCTTCCTGGTTCTGTTTTGTGCGATTCTTCCCTCAATTCAGCTTTCTGTGGAGTAAGGGAGGAGAGGGCAGATGGAAACCATTCCGGAGGGGCATTAGCTGTTCCTTTGTATATCGAATAACCAAATCTCAGCTTGCTTATTACATTGAGGCCTTCCTGGCAAGTCCGTTGCAACGCCAAGAGGAAAAGGTGGGGGGTAATGGCATTTTATGCAAATTAGAGTCCAATGATCAACCTGTAGACTGATCTCTTCCCATGACGACTCCGGAGATTTTTCTGCAGGGTACAAATCTTGAAGGTCAAACTTCAGTTGAGTGCAGGGATTGTGGGTACTGATTTTCCTGCAGATCCCGCCCCCCGAGTCTCATATCAGCATGCATGCGACCCTTGTCTTTCAGTAAGTTCTGGCTTATACAGTAAGACCATGACGCCAATGTATGACCCCGTCAACGGGACGCCGGCCTCCTCCACCATGACGTGGTTCAGCGACAGCCCTTTGACGGACCACAACTGCAACATCCTCGCCTTCAGCCAGCCCCCGCAGTCACCAGAAGTGCTCAGTGACATGTACCAGCCCTGGACGCTCATCGATAAAGCCAAGTTTAACGCAGGGTCAGGAGCCGCCTCCGTTTTGCCTCTCTCAGAACTGGTGCCAATACAGTAAAGCTGGAGGGGAGGGGAGTTAATAGAGATCCGGGGGTTGCGCTGCATTAGCAAGAGGCAGTGCTGATTGTCCCAGCAACAACAACAACAAGTGAGATTGGGGAATGCAGCTTTCAGTACATTGCAGAAGAGCAGAATGTATGGGTTGGGAGAACTTGGTAGATTCGCGCATGTGAATACCAGTTCTTGACCACGGTGGTGGGCAAGGTGACGTCAGTGGGCTGTGGGAGACCAGTTCCAGGGGAGTGCCAGGGCAGCCCCCGGGCTCCGATTTCTCTTGTAGCGTGTCACTTCTCCCTTAACGTATCAGCAAGACCTGCATCCCCATTTGGAATGACTCACGAAATACATCCAAACTATTTCTCTAACTACCACTTCTTTTGCTTTTCTCTTGCCCACTAAATGAGCCAAACTTCTTGGCCACTCGCCATTCTCTATCTGATCTAGCTGGGCCCCCATTCTGACCGGCTCTCGCTGTCACTGGCCCCCAGGACATGGCTGTACTGCCCGCTCCCTTCTTGTCTAATAAAGCTGCCCTGTCACCCACCACACCCCTCCTGCTTCTCAAGTATCAGTGTTCCAGAACAATCTGTTCCCTGTCACTCCGACAGTCTGCTTACTGCAGGGTCGCGTGGACCCCTTTATGTGAAGAGTGATCTCTGCCTTGGCCCACAGGATGGAGATGACTTTTTGGTCATGCTTGTTCCCCAACTGGGCATCAAGCGATGGACATTCAAGACTTTGCTATGCAGTGCCAACGGCTGCTTCTCGTTCCCTGTAGGTCCCTCAGTAGCTTTTTCATGTCCACTGTTTACCCCCCACCAACATCTGGTTTTATTTTTCAACCTTAGGATTCTGTGTCTCAGTGCAGAAACCACCAGCCACCTAAGGATTTCACATTGGAATTTAAATGAATTGGAATGCACCCGCTCATCACGTTGAAGCCACCTGTGGCTAGGGGCCAACCTGTTGGACAGCCATGAATATTGTTCTCACTGTGGAGAGGCACACAGGCTTTTTGGGTGGACCACCTGATACAGTGGGGAGGCCGGGCAGACAGAATCTGCTGCTGGCTCCAGCACACAGCGTGACAATGTGACTGTCACCTGGTGGCTCAGGCCCCCAGGCTCCTCTGCTGTCACACTGAGCTCAGGAAAACCACCTGGCCCCTGCACTGTTAGTGTCACTGAGCAAAGGGAAAAAATACACGGACATACAAGGTGTTTCAGAAAGTTCCTGACAATTGAATTCAAAGCAGGAGTGCTTTTGGTCCAAAAAAAAAAAAGCTCAATATAAAATAGTTTTGCATAATACATGGAAAATGCCCATTGTGAAAAAAGCTGATTTTTTTTAAATTGTGCACCAAAATAAAGTCAGACTTTTAATTCCATTTTTTCATGAATTTCTTGAAATAGTTTTTTGAAGTGTATATGAAAAACCTTATAATGCAAGTGGAGACTATTCTGATGCATACTGATTTTTGTTACATTAACTTGATCTTAAGAAGAATCACAGTTCTAAAAGTTTGTGGAAATTGAGTTTAAAAAGTTTTGGCATAAAAAAAAAAAATTGAGGGCCCGGCGGCGTGGCCTAGCAGCTAACGTGCTCGCCTTGAACGCCCCAGGATCCTATATGGGTGCTGGTTCTAATCCCAGCGGCCCTGCTTCCCATCCAGCTCCCTGCTTGTGGCCCGGGAAAGCAGTCAAGGACGGCCCAAAGCCTTGGGACCCTGCACCCACGTAGGAGACCCGGAAGAGGTTCCTGGTTCCCGGCTTCATATTGGTGCAGCACAGGCCATTGCGACTCACTTGGGGAGTGACATCGGATGGAAGCGCTTCCTCTCTGTCTCTCCTCCTCTTTGTAGTAAAAATAAATAAAAATCTTTAAAAAAATTAAAATCCATATATAAAGAGATCTTCAAAAAGCTTGTAGAAAATGTATATTATTTAAGAAAAACTGCATGGGTTTGACAGGATTTTTTGCACTTTTCTTCCAGTTTCGTTTTTCCACATTTTTAAGTGCCTTCATCTGTAACGTAATACCATGACGAGTATGCCCATAAAGTGACCGGCTCACCCCAAACCTCTGTTTTCCAGTTGGCTGGACTCCTCGCGCTCCCTTATGGAACAAGGCATCCAGGAGGACGAGCAGCTACTGTTGCGGTTTAAATACTACAGTTTCTTCGACTTGAACCCTAAGGTAAGATGTTTTTCCTCTTCCCTCACTTGCTCTCTCTTATCCTGTGAATGCGTAGGAGTGTACAATGGAGCCATTCAGTTGTCAGCATTTCTGATGATTCTGTGTGTGCTCGCTAGCTCTGCGAGGTTAGACTGAGCCAGGTGTATGCCTTGTGCTTCCCAGTGGACCTGCTATGTGGCCCCTAAGTTGCCGACACGTACGGGGGTCTGTGCGAGGTGCCCTCTGCGTTCCAGCGGAGAGGAGCTTATGCACCTGAAGCCTTCGAGGCTCAGGAAGGAAAATGGTTTTCAGGGGTCAAGATTAAGGGCGACCTCCCTCCCGTAAGCAAGCCAAGTTCACGTGGTGGTCCAGGCAACACTTTTATCTGGGAGCTTCATACACTCCTGGGGGGCTGGAAAACGGGGGGCTGTGTTAGAGAAATGAAGTCTCAGCTGGCCTGCGTCTCCACTGCCAGTGCACATCTCCCACCTGAAGTTTGTTGGACACGAATGTGGGCTAAGTTCTCTGAATTTCTCCCCTTTCTTGCTTCTCACAGCCACGTTGTGGGGCTCTGGGTCAGTGGTTAAGTGGCCAGGCTGGCTGCTCCCGTGACAACTCTGTTGCTTCTTTCTCTTACTGCTGGGCACCTGTTCAAGGGGTGAATGCCCATGTCAGTATAACTCCCACTGAGTCAGGGCAGAGGGCACATTTGGACTCTTCTTTGATGAGATCTTTAGGAGTGATTACAGTGCTGTTTCTCTTACTTAATAGGTTTGATTAAAAAGTAGTGTGAGTTATATAAGTGAATTTTCTTTTTCGCTTTGTCAGTGGAACCAAAGTCACACGTTCTGAGCCAAGTCTTCACTCAACTCTCATTTTTCTTTGCCTGATTTTTAGTTAATTTAAGCAGTCTTACCATATGCCATCTACGTTAGTAAGCTGCCTTACTTTCCTTTGCTGAAACTAGGTAATACAAATAACAAATAATACAAATAACAAATAATACTCTGGTGTTTGCTCATTTCAATGGTAGTAATTTGGCCCCTTTTACCTAATCAGACTGTGACCCATCTGATTTTTATTTATTCACATATTTATTAAGCCAGTACTAAATGCCAAGAACTTAAGTCGCGTACTGAGAACCCAAAAATATCAGACCTTACACGAGAGTTCTTAAATTAATTAAATAAAATTCAGGCCCGGCCCGGTAGTGTAGCAGTTAAAGTCCTCGCCTTGAACACCCCAGGATCCCATATAAGCCCCGGTTCTAATCCCGGCAGCCCTGCTTGGAAAAGCAGTCGAGGACGGCCCAAAGCTTTGGGATCCTGCACCCGCGTGGGAGACCCAGAAGAAGTTCCTGGCTCCTAGCTTCGGATTGGCTCAGCTCTGGCCATTGAGGCTGCTTGGGGAGTGAACCATCAGACAGAAGATCTTCCTCTCTGTCTCTCCTCCTCTCTGTATATCTGACTTTCCAATGAAAATAAATAAATCTTGTTTTTTAAATTAATTAAATCAAATGCACAAGATTACAAAAAATAGATTATAGTAACTAAAATCTTTCTTAAAATAGGCATGATAGCACCTGTGGTTCTAAGTGAATAGGATAAATACGGGCTAGAGGCGGGTCTCAAAACTAGCTCGATTTTGAATCAATACTAGGAATAAGCATTATTTGAAGACAACAGCAGTAACTGAAATGGGAAGGAAGAGCTGTGATCTAGGTCATTCCAACCTTTGCTTCTCTGGCTTTTAGAGGGGCAAAGCCGACGGGCCAAAGTGGGAAGCGGTGTGTCTGTAAGGTGTCACGAAGCACAAGGGCAGGCGCTGCGAGCAGTGCTTAGGATGTTGCTTTGCCGGCCTGCCTCCCATGCGGGACTGCCTGGATCCCACGCGTGGCTCAGCTTTCTGCTGATGTACACCGTGGAAGGCAGCAAGCACTGGCTCAGGCGTTGTAGCCCTGACACCCAAGTGGAAGGTATGAGTCCCTGGCTCCTGGCTTCTGCCTGGGCCAGCCCAGCTGTGGAGGGCATTTGAAGAGAGAATCAGCAGGTGCAAGATTGACTTCTGTTTTGCTCACTTTTTCTCTCCTTCTCTCCCATCTCTCTTCCTTGCAAACCAAATGAACAAATAAGTCATTTTTTTAATGTAGAATGAATTTCAAAAAGAATGCACTCAAAACATTAAAAAAAAAATCCAGAATCCATAAAAGGTTAGTACAGTTTAATAAAAAAGAAAATATTGTGTATGACCAAAATAAAAAAGCTATAAGGAAGTTAAAAAGTCTTAGCAACACAAAGTGCAAACAGAAAATTCATTTCCCTGACATGAAGAATCACTACAAATTAGACTTTTAAAAAGACCAACAACCTGGTGGGATGATGGACAAGGAATATGAATACATGGTTCATAGAAAAAGAAGTACCATCGAGATACATTGGCAAATATCAAAGTTTCACAGGCTACCTTAGCGAGAATGTGGCAAAACAGGTTCTCCCATACATTTCTTACAAGTCAAAGTACAAATTCAGTCTAGCCTCTATGGAAGGCAATTTGGCGTTTCCAATAGAATTACAAGTTCTATTCAGCTTTTACCCAGGAATTCTCCTAAGAATATATACTGCACCTCACATGTGGTTATTAGGAGGCATAAACATAAAGTTTTTATTACATTTTTTTTGTTTGTTTTAGGAAGATGTTGAAAACTACCTAGATATCTGTCGGTACGGAGATCGCTCAATGTGTTACTACTATCCATGCTATATTGCTGAAAAATAAAAAATAAATCACCTCTTTTGATATGAAACAGATCAAGAGACACAGAGAGGATCTACTGTCTGCTAATTCAATCACCAGATCCCCTATCAGCCAGGGCTGGGCTAGGTCAAAGTCAGAGTCCTGGAACTCTCCCCTGCTCTATCACATGGAGAACAGGGCCACAAGCAGCTGAACCCTCACCTGCTACCGCCCAGGGTTCATATTCGCAGGAAGCTGAGTAGGAACCCAGGCGCCCCGTACAGGATGTGGGAACCCCAGGTGGTGACTTCACCATCTGCCCCCGCAATCCAGCTTTAAAACACCTTCTGGAAAATTTCCTTACGGGTGTGGCCGATCACTCCCTGACACGCCTCCACTGGTCTACTTTCTGTCTCAAGTTTGGTTTTCCCCAAACATCATAGACTCATTTTTAGGTCTTTTTTTTTTTAAAAAAAAAAATCATTTATTTATTTATTTGAAAGTCAAAGCCACAGAGAGGGAGAGACAGACAAATCTTCCATCTGCTGGTTCACTCCCCAGATGGCCACAGGGGCAGGGGCTGAGCCAGGTCAAAGCCAGAAGCCAGGAAGGCAGGGATCCAGACGCTGAGGCCATGCTCCACGGTTTTCCCAGGTGCATTAGCAGGGAGCTAGATGGAAAGAGGAGCAGCCAGGACACGAACCGGCGCCCATATGAGATGCCAGTGCTGCAAATGGCAGCTTTACTTGCTACGCCAAAACGCTGGCCCTATAGGTAATTTTTGACCTAGATTCTTTTCAGGCGTGCCATGTTGAGGTGCATGCAATGTTGCCAGAGTCAGTTAGGCACCTCTTGGATTCCTGAGTGGGAACCCGACTGATGGATGGCTATGCCAGATTTTCTTTGTCTATTCAGGAGTTGAGGGACATTGGATGTTTCTAGTTTGGGGCTTGCTCTAAGTAATCCTGTTGTGACTCTTCTTGCATGTGTTTTGCTTTTGTTTGTTGAGAGGTGCTCTGGGCTGCTTCCCCAGCTTTTTGTGACACCTGGCAAGGTTCATAAAGCTGTGAGGCCCCTGAGTCCCACACACTTGGTTGGGCATCTGTCCCTCTCCTCCAGCGCCCGTGGAAAGCCGGAGAAGGACTCCATAGACCAGGGTCCCAGTGCTCCTCTGCATTCTGCTGCATTTGGCTGACTTCAGGATTTCACGTGTAGGGTTAACTCCTCTTTGTGTGCATAAGCCTCAAATAAAAGGAAAAAATAAACAAATGCTAATCAGAGTGTGATAAATGTACTCTAAGGATCTTTCTGCTCCTTCTCTGTATTTATCTCAAAGGACTTAGTCACATGTATACTCACTATAAAAAAAAATCAAGCATCCGACAGAGTCCATTGTTGCCTGGGTGTGGAGTCTTGGTCTCCATGAGAGGAGTCGTCCAGTCATTGGACCCTGGTGCTGGCCACTGCGCAGTGTGAATGCCTGTTGGGTGCCACTGGGCTCTAGACTTAGGGTTAAATAGTAAGTGTGTCATACCACAATTTAGATCCATTTTTTTAAAAATCAAGCCAGACCTAGAGAGAAATTAGGCTTGACAATGGCCCTTGTCTTAGGCCTTGTCAAGGTCAGCAGTGAAGGGTAAAGTCTGACATAGGATGGGGGGTCTGCCCTGCCTGAACCTGGATGCACTGGGCAGCAGCAGAATGCCTGGACGTGCCCACTTGGGGTGAAACTGTTCAAGAAGAAAGGAGAGGAGGAGGGGAGAAGGAAAAAAGGATGGGAGGGAGGAAAGAGGAGAGAAAACTCAAGAACAGAGAGTGAGATGGGACGGGGGTGGAGGAGTACCATGAGGTCGGGGTAGAAAGTGGTACCATGTTTTCTGGAGTGGCATCCTTGTCAGTGATACCCGTACAAGTTGGTTTGTCAGCAGCTGAATAGTTTGTGCCTCCTTGGCTGGTGTGGCGCATGCTGCTGTAAACATTGGTCGCATGTACCTGTTTAGGTTTCTGTGGATCCCAATGAAATATCCACAAGTGAGCTTTCTGGATCAAATTCTGTGCTTATGCCTTTAAATAACTGCCACACTAGTTCACATCCTCACTCACTTTGTCTACAATTTATGTACATCATGTTGTCCAAATGACAGATGCTATCAACCCTGTTCAGAGCGTGAATTGCTTCTTCCCTATGTACAATGTTATACATTCTATACAGTATCATTTTTATTTAACATTACACTTATCTACATATGGAAGTCGGATTCCAGACATTGTCTTATTGATTCTTTGTCAATCACTATACCAATACCACACTCATTTAATTACTGAGGTTTTAATTATATATTTTAATGGCTGGAGAGCAAGCGTCTCCCCCAGTATTCTTCCTCCTGGCAATAATAAAATATTGTCCTTTGTGTTTAACTGGAGAATCGACTTCAGCAAATTTCCATTAGAAGTTGCCAGTCACATCCTGCCTGGGGTTGTACTGAACTTGCAGATGGCCTTGGAGAGTCTTCCTCCTTCATACTGTATATAGCCATGTCCATGCTCAGGTTCACTCCCGTAAGTGTGGTCAGTGAAAAAGAGGGGCCATCATGGAGCGGAAGAAGGTCTGGAAATACTTGGGAGAAGGAAGTTCCAGATGCATCAGTAAAATGAGCTGAGGCACAGGAAGGATGGAGGTGCGTCTTTCAGCTCCCTGAACTGAGGTTCCGTTGCACCTGCCCATGAGCCGGGTCACTCCCCAGTGCTTTTTGTGCTGCAGAATGGAAAAGCTCCCCCACGCATGTCTGTTTTTGTCTCTAGTACGATGCTGTCCGAATAAACCAACTCTACGAGCAAGCGAGGTGGGCCATCCTCTTAGAGGAAATTGACTGCACGGAGGAGGAGATGTTGATCTTCGCAGCCCTGCAGGTACGGGCAGGTTGGTGACTTTTTCAGAAGGAGATAAATCAGGTGCGTTCTGCTTGCAGTTGCATTGTCTTCCTGTTGGATTTTTTTTTTCTTTGAAGGAAGAGCTGAGAATGAGGAGAGTAAATTTAAATGTCAAATGTCCCTTAAAAAAAAAACCAACCTCCTCTGTGAGCAAATGCGCTTAGAATTCTCGCCTCTTTGCTGCTGCAAACACGGTCGGCTGGGGGGAGAACAGGTCTTCCATTGACAGACCACGAATGTCAGAATTTGTGTTCAATGTCAACTGCCCCACGCAGGAAGTAGCTCTCCTTTCAATAATAATAGTGTTTAAGAAGGAGACAGGAGACGCGGCACCTGGGTTGGTTTGTATGCGTAACATTTCTACGCCCTCTGCTTTCGTTACAGTATCACATTAGCAAACTGTCACTATCAGCTGAAACACAGGATTTGACAAGCGAGTGTGAGACTGATGAAGTCGAAGCGGCGCTGTCGAATCTGGAAGTGACCCTGGAAGGTGGAAAAGCAGACAACCCTCTGGTAGGAACTTGCCATGCAGCGCAGATCTGTGACTGCTCTGACCCGTGGGCCCAGAGAGAGGACCTTCCTTTGCCAGAAGCAGGAGGCTATCCCATCTGATTTCAAAAAGGGAGGCTGTGCTTTCGTCTTAGCAAACTGCCAAGCTTTCCTCGGGCCACCCTGAGAAAGACTAGGACGTGTTTTCATTGCTACCAAAGCAGTTCTTTTTAGAGTTGGCCTGGATAAGGGGTGACGGCTGAGATGGCTCCACTTCAACCTCTCAGAACGTGGGGTCGATCCCTAAACTTAAGTCTAGAAGAGGCCACCCTGGCTAGTGCATATGCAACTGTGAGCGTGGAGGAAATACTTTTCCGTTGTATTATCTGCTTGTTGACATACCTTTCAATGGAGCACGGTCTATGTCTAGCATATTGCGCAACATTCTTGAGCCCTTTGACTTCAGGAAATAAATAAAGAAAAACCTTCCGGCGAAACATAAAGAAATAAAACCCACTCGTCCCTTGCTTCCTCTCGCAGGCAGTGCAGCTAATGTCAGCCTGGTCATCGGAAAGCCCTGCATGTCTGATTCATGCATTGCCTCCCCTTTTGCTTAACTTCTTCAACCGGGAGGGTAATTACTAGTTTAGTCACTGAATCAGAGAGGTGGGCCCATTGTAACTGGATAAGAATTAGTCATGAATTAGTCATCGTACACTTATGCATTCAGTGTGGATTCTCTTATTAAATGCTTTTAAATAGGAATTCATAATGCAAGAGCAAATACTAAATGCAGACAACGCCAGGGTTCTATCAAGGTGCCGGGGCTTTGGTCTCACATACGGAGACACGGGCCCCTCAGCCAAAGTTCTCCTGCCTGTTTTGTCCATTGAATTCATGTACCAGGAAAGGGATCCATCTGGAAATAAATGTAAAATTCCTCCTCCCTCAATATTTTTATGTGACACCAACAATAGGCTTTTCAGTTTGAAAACAAGCACCAGTAACACTGCAGAATGAACTTTGGACCAAGTTCCTCTTGAGGGTTTAATCAGTGACCTAGAGGTAGCGGGAGTTACTCTCACATAAAGATTACACAAGATTTTATTTTTACAGAAAAGTCATTTGTAACTACAAGTTAACACCCAAGTCCAGCAATTGAACTTGGCTGGCCCCCCTCTAAGCCCCTGCATGTGCTCTGAGCCCCTCCCAGTCTCTGCCCAACGTGCACCCCACACCCTATTACCAGAGGTGTGGCTAGGGAGCAGGTGGAGCTGTGTTTTTCATTTTATTGCATGTGCGTTCATGCACATGGAAGTAGCGATGTGTGGCAGATGGCTGCCGGCTGTATGAGACAGTGCTGAAGCAGCATAGGAAGTCTCACCCATGAGATCCCAGCGCATGAAATGTTACTTGTTTTTTCTTAGGAGGACATTACCGATATTCCTAAGCTTGCTGACAATCTCAAGCTGTTTAGGTGAGTAGCCGTTGAGGGGAGAAGGGGAGAGTTCTAACAAACCTTTGTGTGTCAGGAGTTGCGCATGTGGACTGTGCATCCACTGGGCAAGTTCATAGTCAGGAAAAGGGTTGAATTCCAGTTCCACCACATGTACCAGCAAGGTGACCCTGACAATGCTTTTAGACCTCGCAGCCTCAGTGTCCTGATAGGTAAAATAGAGATGCATCCTGTCCTGGATTTGTTGCCAGGGTTAGATAAAATAATGCATACTAGGCATTTTCATAGCTACTGGCTTATAGTAGGCGCTTACTTTAGCAGGGAAAGAACAGGACCAGAATCCATGTAATGGGCATGAATGCCAGACTAGAGTGTCTAGTGAAACTTGCTCAGGACCCCTGGGACTCCCGCACCCTTTGAAAGTTCTTTCACAGTTTGCACATCACTTTTGTCTAGACCTTGGAGTCTTATTATGTAGTCACCTTAGATTTATCTTTCTCCTCTTTCACTGCTTCTCAAAAATTACCCAGTCACCTCAGGTTGAGGGAAAGCTGTTTAAAAGGCAGAGAAATGTTGGGGGTTTTGACCCACACAGAAAGAATTGTCACCTTTGAGTCCCTAGCCAAGGTGCACTAAGATGAAAGATGCAAGATCCTTTGATGTTCTATCAGTCACTTACATCACTTTATGGCTTGTTGATTCTTCTTAACACACCTGCATTTCCCTGGAACAACTGGGTTTGATAACAGAAGAAAGATTTGGAAAGAATGAGAGTCAGACAGAAAGAGAAACAAGTGCCCAAAGCCCCAAAGCACAGTAGACGGGCAGTAGACAGTATCTCCACTGAGTTTCCATGGGTCGGCAGCTTTCATGGGAGGAAGTAGTGTCCAACAATAGGCTGATTGATGTAACTTTCCTGGTGAAAAGACTTGTGGCCACGGTGGATCCCGATTATTGGAGTCTGAACTAGAGAAAAAAAAAAAAGATAAATACAGATACATCTTTTTTTCTTCAATTTTTGTTTTCTTTTTCATTTTTGATGAAATTTACATAGTTGACCAGGGTGAGACCATTGTTCCCAAATCTTCGCCTCTTCCTCCTGATTTGGGGGAAGGGATGGGAATTTAGGGGAGAAGCCACACCCAGCCTCCCCTGCCATCCCAGTTCCCAGGGATGGGGAGTGGCCACCCGAGGCCATCCCAGGGAGTCCCAATCTGGAGCATGATCCGAAGGTTCTGCTCAAGTGGTTTTGATAGTTCTGAAATGCTGTCAATCTCACCGATCCAAGGATGAGGAAATCTTTCCAAGGTCCACTAACTGACATAGTCCACCTTAACGTCTCCATTCGCCCAGATATTTGCTATCAACGCTTGGCTAGGGTAGTTACTCGATTTGCTCTGGTCTCCTTCCTCTGCTATGGTACTGGATAGCCTCTGCAGGGCCCAATGGACTGCCATGTCCTCCATGTGCATCTGCAGCTCTTGTATATATCAATGGGTGTTGAAACATGTGAGCTGAGTTAGATCGAGAGCCAGGCTGGGCTAAGCAACTGTATCCAATGGTGCAGACATGAGCCAGAGTAAGATCAGGCTGGTTGGGTTTTGCCACAGCATCAGCTGGGAAACACTGGGACTGGGGGAAAGTCCTATCAGGCAAGACTGCAGAAACACCTTGGTGAGTGTAAAATCCTGGGCTGGAAGTGGACCTGATGGGCTGCAACTTCCACTGGTGAGCATGAGAATCAGGACTGGGGGCAGACCTGGCTAGACAGGCAGTGGCACCTGCCAGCATGAGTGTTGGCTGAAGAGCGGGGTCAGCTGGGTCGAACTAAGTTTCAACACTCTTTGATAAATACAAGAGTTGAATGGGATACGGGACAGACTGGGCCAGTGTGCTGCACGTACTGGCAAGTGTAGGAACCAGGGCTAGGCAGGTCTGGTGAGGGTTCTGAGGGGGGTCACCCTGACTAGGCTGCAGTTCCCGCTGGTGTATGTGAGGGCTGAGTGTGTGCTGGGCGGAGTTGGGCTGGCCCACGGCATCCATTTGTTTATATGAGAGACGAGGCTGGAGACAGAACTGACCCAGCAATTGCAACAACCACTGTGTGTGTATAGGCAGATGTAGGTGACAGACTGAGCTGGACTCTACACTGGCCATCACATACATGAGTCAGGTCTGGGATCACCTCAGACAAGGTTTCTTTGGGATTCTTCCCAACTAAACTGCTGGACTCAGAACTCCAACCATGCGAAGAATTCCAGGATCTGTGGTCTGACCGTGGATTGCATGTGTCATAACTAGACCTCCTCAGTGGAGAGCATGTTCCACATTGGGGACCCTGGGATGACATCTAGTGACTGTTCACCATCCCTGGGTCCTAAGGCACTTGGAAGGCTGGGTGTGGATTCTCCCCTTACCTGTTACTCCTCCCCCAAATACAAGTAGAAGAAAAATTTTGGAATCCAATTGTCTCATCCACTTTCCCCTAATCCTCTACGCTTCCCACCCTAATCAACTGCGTAAGCATCATCGAAAATAAGATTTTAAAACTAAATAAATGAATAATAAAAAATATTTTTTTAAAAAAAAAGTCCAAGTTCCTCCTAACAGGAGTTCCAGAAGAAAGTCAGGAGAGAAGCAACATTGAAAAGAAACGGCTCCTTAAAAAGAGAATGATTTTAATTGTGGCTCTAATGTTGCAAATGTTATATTAAATGCAATGATTTTTCTTAATTCTGGAAAATAAATGCCTGATAGTTTTAAGATTTATTCTTTACTTGTCATTTTTTAATTTATTTTTCTGTAATAATCTTTAATACACAATCATTTTGTTGTGGTCCCTGGGATATTTGCATTAAGGATCACGCTATTATAGCTAAGTGTTGAAGCACTGACACATCAAGAGGCTTGGACAGAATTACAGGAGTGGCACTAGCCACAAACTTCCTTACCCTCTCCATTCTCTCTCTCTCTCTTTTTTAAATTTTTTTTTTTTTTATTGGAAAGGCGGATATACAGACAGGAGAGACAGAGAGGAAGATCTTCCGTCCGATGATTCACTCCCCAAGTGAGCGCAACGGCCGATGCTATGCCGATCCGAAGCCAGGAGCCTCTTCCGGGTCTCCCACATGGGTGCAGGGTCCCAAAGCTTTGGGCCGTCCTCGACTGCTTTCCTGGGCCACAGGCAGGGAGCTGGAAGGGAAACGGGGCTGCCAGGATAGAACCGGCGCCCATATGGGACCTGGGGCGTGCAAGGCGAGGACCTTAACCACTTGCGCCACCGCGCCAGGCCCCTCTCTCTTTTTTAACATTTCTATTTTCATTTTACATGAGAAGCAGAGAGACGCAATTACAGAGAGAGAGAAAGAGATCTTCCATCCACTGCTTTACTCCTTAAAAGTCAGCAACAGCCAGGACTGGGTCAGGCTTCTGAAAGCAGAAGCCCAGAATTCAATCCAGGTCTCCCACGTGGGTAGCAGGAATCAAGCACTTAAGTCATGACCTGGTGCAGAGTTACAGGTTGAGCCAGGACTCAACCCCAGGTGCTCCTATACAGGATGAGAGTGTTGTGTGGCATCTCAGCATCACTTCTGCCCTTCTTCAACACAGAAAGCCACAACTCCAGTGTCAGACACCTGCTTCACCTACAAGGCCCGGGTTGCTCGTTTTGTCTGTTTCTGCCCCCTTTCTCTCACATTTCCTAATTTGAATAACCTAAACGACCTGCCCTGGAAGCTGCCAGTCTTTCCGTGGCTTTCTGGAATGTCCTTGTGCTTTCTCATAAGAATCAAGTGAAAGCCATAATGCCACTGTTGACTTTCTGTCTGATCTCTCGGTTCTGAGGAGTGCACTGAGCATGTCCCAGGTTTCTCACCATCGCTTGGCTTGTGCCAGGGACTGCGACACACACTTCCACTTTGACCAAAGCCCTGGGCTGTTAACACTGCCACTGTCCCCATCCACAGGGGCTCCGTCTGGTCTCTCGCAGGTAGTAGCTGGTCCAGAGTGTGAACCCAGGCTAACTCAGATCCTTCGCATTAGCTTGTTCACCTCTTAGCAACACTTCGTGTCCAGTCTTTAGAAATAAGTGGGCATTTGGGGGGGAAATGTTTTTTAAAAAATGAAAAGTATGTGGCTTGGCGGAGCGTGGAGAGCATGTTTGCCTGCTCAAAAAGTGAGTGTCTCCTGTGTGTCTAGACAGCACTTTTAACACTTACTGTGCTTTTTTAGGGCCAAGAAGCTGATGTTAAAGTCTTTCAAACAATATTGGTTCGTCTTTAAAGACACATCCATAGCCTACTTTAAAAGTAAAGAAGTTGAACAAGGAGAACCAATAGAAAAACTGAATCTTAGAGGTAAGGGCACCCAGCACCTGGCCGGGGCTTGTCATGATGCAGCAAGCAGATCAAAGCATCTTTCTGTAGAACAGGAGATGCTTCTGGGGGACCATGTGGGTGGCACCAGCAGTCTGCTCCATAGCATCCCTTCCTCGTGGGGCGTGGGCCTGGACTTGGTCTGTCCAAAGTGTGCTCGTGGTGGTGTGATTGTGTCCAGTTGTGCAGCACCTGAGGCATTGTGGGATCCGGAAAGGCTTTCTGCAATCAGAAACAATAAAGTTTCATTCAGTGTCACTTCAATGCCAAGTCTGTCTTCCGTGAATGACTAATAATGTGGTGGTAACACCCCACTGATTGATTGCTTCATTAGCCAATGCATTTGACTCACGCATCATGGTGACCAATCAGAGCACTCCCTCTGCCTGCATTTATTTTGCAGTTCACCACTACCCCTGTGGATTGGGATACCTAACAGAAGCCTCAAAAATAAATTCAATTGACTTCATTATTCAAGAAAATCTGTTTTCATTCCCCACGTGAACTGCTCCTAATTGTTCTGTGGTTGCTCTTTAACGAACACTATCAGCTGGCGTCTCCATTTTTCAGGAGAGCCAAATGTTCAGAGTCTCTATTTCCAGCGTAGGCCTGACATTCATTCCTGTAACAACCTCACTGCAGCTCGGTTTTGTCCCTGCCTTTTGTCCTTCAGGTTGTGAAGTTGTGCCAGACGTCAATGTTGCAGGCAGAAAGTTTGGAATCAAGTTACTAATCCCTGTTGCTGATGGAATGAATGAAGTCTATTTGAGATGTGACCATGTAAGTGAAACCACAAGAAAGTGCTGAGTCAGTTCCCATTCAGTACGCCTGATGGCGAAAACATGTGAGTGTTTTTTCACAGGGGAACACCATTGCATCACTCAACTACTGCGTTCTAATACACCTATCAAAGAATCATGTTTCATAAGCGTTTGTTTCTGAAAGAGCCACGGTTGGGTTGGCGTTGGATGCTCCCAGCTGGCAATCACAGGTCAGGTCTGCTTGGCCCCACAGGTCGGCCTGAATTTTAGTTTGTCCAACCCTAGGCTGCTAGGAAGAACTCAGGCAGCTGGCCTGTGGGAGGCCTCCTAGTGCTTCAGCCTGAAGTCTGTGCACGCTGTCACCTCCACCATGCTCCAATGGCCAGGGCAAAGCACATGGCCTAGCTTGAAATCTAGGGTCAGCAGGTGCACTCCATGTGTGCCGGTGAACTGCAGAGCCACATGGCAGAGTGGCTGGGGGGCGGGGAGGGAGAATGGTGTTGCCAACCGAGAGCCATGCTTCTGTTTTTGCACCTACTGTGGCTCTGGACAGCTCTCCCTCTCAGCTTTGGTGCCCACTGCTGCTCTCTGGCAGAGGTCAGAGATGAGCAAAGTCGTTACAGCATGATAGAAACCACCAGCAGCTGGTTCAAAGCCCCTCAGTGGCCCTGACTGTGACCCTAGGATCGGAATGTGTACCAAAGAGAAATCAGACTATGGATAATAGAGGAAATCAGTTCCATTGTTGTTTCAACATTTTCTTTTTAATGTAAATCAAACATGCTCTGAAAGTGGAAATACAGGCGTGCATTGCTTAACAACAGGGCCACGTTCTGATAAACGTGTCCCAGGACTTCGTCACTGTGTGAACCTCACAGAGTGAAGTGGAACAAACCTAGACAGCCTGGGTCTGTCATCCCACATGGCCTGTTGATGCCATTAAGAGACACGGCCAGCGGCTGGCATTGTGATGTAGTGGGTTAAGTCAGAGCTGCAGGCAGTTCAAGTCCCAGTTGTTCCACTTACACTCCCTGCTTGTGGCCTGGGAAAACAGCAGGGGACAATCCAAAGCCTTGGGCCCCTGCACCCATGTGGGAGACCTAGAAGAAGCTCCTGGCTTCTGACCAGCGCAGCTCTGGCCATGTGAAGAGTATGGAAATGCTCTCTCTCTCTCTCTCTCTCTCTCTCTCTGCCTTTCAAATATATAAAGGAAAAAAATTATATAAAAAAAAAAAAAGAGAGAGAGAGAGAGAGAGAGAGCACGCGACTTGGCCAGCACAGTATGCATGAGTCTGCCAGCATGACACAGCACTTGTCCAACAGTAACCTTTGTCCACATAGAAAGAGTGGACTCTAAGACAGTGATTCAAGAGAACAACACCGAGTTCACCTGACAGCAAGACCAGGCTTTATGTAACACTGCACGTGATGGGCAGGTACCGAGTGTTTGGCTAGCAATGGGTTTTTCTTTGCACTGCATCGCCACAGACACATGAGTCAGGCATTCCATATGACATTCTGGTGGTGACCATGGTGCTACATGATGGGAGTGTTTTCGGCTCTTTTTTAAATCCATGTCATGGTCACAGGTGGTGTTGCTTCGTGATGTTACATATACCAAGGCAGGTTTTCCAGCAGTGTGAGCCTCCACCTGCCTGGGCTCCATGGGCTCCCTTGTGTCCTTGAGTCATCTTGAAATGTGGAGGTGCCCGTGGAGTTTTTCAGAAGTGACATTCCTAGACCCTCAGCATCTAGAACTCAGCCTGGCCCTCAGCCGCTGTCGCTGAGCGCCAGCGCAGGTGGCCAACAGCCACACAGAGCGACAGCCACTTTGCCTGGACGGTGAGGGTTTGGTATTGTGATGGGGAAGGAGGCCCAAGTCCTGCATAGCTGGCCACACAGTGGCTTTTCACTTGAACCTGCCTCTCAGCCTGCTTGTGTTTGCTGCAGGAGAACCAATACGCCCGGTGGATGGCCGCCTGCAGCCTGGCCTCCAAGGGCAAGACCATGGCAGACAGCTCCTACCAGCCAGAGGTCCTCAACATCCTGTCGTTTCTGAGGATGAAGAACCGGACCTCGGCGTCTCCGGCAGCTTCTGGTCTCGAGAACATGGACATGAACCCCGAAAGCTTTGTATCACCCCGCTGTGCCAAAAAGCACAAGTCGAAACAGGTAGTGCTGCACTGACCTGCAGAAGATTCTTTGTATGTTTTTTTTCTAATTTTGAATTTTTGAATGTTATGGTACAGTTTCATATAGACTGTATTTCCTCCCCGCAAACTCCCAGCCCCCGACAGATTTTCCCCATGTTGCTACAATGGTACAGTCGTTCATAAGAAGTCATAATTCCATTAGATTCTTTGTTTTGACATAATAGGAGGAAATTGTGAATTTTGCAACAGATGACTGGGCTATTAACTCTTGCAAAATTGAACTTAATTGAGCACAAAATTAATCAGGGTGGGCATTACAGAGCAGCAGGTCTGGCTGCTACGTGGAACACCCACATCTCGGAGTGCTGGCTCAAGTCTTAACCTCCCGCTAGTGCTTGCTACGAGGGAGCGCATGATGACTCGAGTGCTTGGGCCCCTTCTAGCCAAGTGGGACACACACATGCAGTGTGGGCTTCTGGCCTGGCCCAGCCCTGGCTGTTGTGGATGTTTGGGGAGTGAACCAACAGACAAAAGATCTCTCTTTCACTCTCTCTCCATTTTTCTCTGCCTGAGAATTAGACAAAAGTAAATCAACATTTTAAAAATATGGTTTAGTCCCCACGAATTCAAGATCCAGGTGTGGGCATTTGGCACAGGAATGTTGCTGCAGCTTGGGACCCCTGCGCCCCCTAGTGATGAGCTTTGTTCCAGTCCAGCTCCACTTCTGGTTCCAGCTGCCTGCTAATGCGCACTTTGAGAGTCAGTAGTGATGGCTCCAGTACTTGGGTTCCTGCCACCAGATTGAGTTCCGGGCTTCTAACTTCAGCCTGGCCCAGCTCTGACTATTACAGGTATTTGTGGAGTAAGCCAGCTGCTAGAAATTCTCTCTCTCTCTCTTTCTAATAAATAAAAATTGTAATTCAAATTATGCTTACATAATATTGGGTTAGAAATCACCCAGTTAAACTGACTCAAGTAGTATCATGGAACCATTGCATGTAGATTCTCCATAGAGATGCCCGACAAGAGGGACCCCAAGATGCCTTGTTCTTGTGCACTCACTCTTGTCTCCCCCCAGTGCGTCCCCTGTCTTCCAGACAAAGCTGGAGCCAGAATGAGCAGGGAGGAATGAAGATGAGGTCTGGGTCCCTTGCCATGGCAGACAGCCCTTGCCAGGGCCCCTTGCTCTCCCTGGGGATGTGGGGCTGAAGGAAGGCGCACAGCGCGGTGATGTCCTCTGCTTGTGTTCAGCTGGCAGCCCGGATCCTGGAAGCCCACCAGAACGTGGCCCAGATGCCCCTGGTCGAAGCAAAGCTGCGGTTCATCCAGGCGTGGCAGTCCCTGCCTGAATTCGGCCTGACGTACTACCTTGTCAGGTGATCACACTCCTGCTTGCCTTTCTCGCTTTGTACTCCACATTACAAGACATCTGGGAGCCAGATTGGCTTGCACATCGTCTAAAATGTGGAAGGCTCTTAATTGTAGGACTCTGTCCCTTAGACTGCCCCCTGCCCATCTTCCGTAGCTGCCTTTCAAAGTCTCAACACTCAGCAACATGTGGGAAAGCACATCTGTAAATGCTTAAGGAGATTTCATTCCTTTAGGATAACTACATTTGAATCACTGATTGAGTCTGTGAAAGCCATGGCTTCCCTTGGCATTTCTTCTCCCTGTGACATCTCCCCCACCGCATCTCGCAGTGTGGCTTTGCAGCATTGTTAGATTCCCAGACTGAGAAGTCCCAACACTCCTGGTGTTACTGTCACGCAGTAGTACCACGTGGGGCACCTGTTCCCCCTGGTCTCTGGAAATTTCTGAGCCAGTAGAACCCAGAATAAAGCTTCCTGCTTTACATCCATCACCTGCTTCCTATTTTACACTAAGATAGCCTTAGTCCCCGCCCAGCCAAGGCCATGTCCTGGCAACAGAAGCAGTGCCCTCCGTCCCAAGCCACCTCAGCACCACGGCCCTGCCCCACTGTGCGGGAGGGACTTCCCGAAATGTATCCACAGACTGTTCTTGAATCAAGACATACTCTTATGCTCAGTAAGGAAGATTTGGATTTTGTTTTCTGGTTTTGTCTTTTTAAAATATATATTTAATTATTTTAAGGGCAGAGTTAGAGAGAGAGAAAGAGACGGACGAGATCTTCCATCCACTGGTTTACTCTCCAAATGGCTGCAACAGGCCAGTCCAAAGCTAGCTTCTTCCAGGTCTCCCTTGTGAGTGCGGGGGCCCAAGGACTAGAGCTTTCCCGGGCCATGAGCAGGAAGCTGGATCAGAAATGAAGTAGCTTGGACTCAAACGAGCACCCATATGGATGCGGGTGCTGCAGATGGCAGCTACACCCGCCAGGCCGTGGTGCCAGCTCCTGGAGCTGTTCCTAATGCCATTCTCTCTCTTATACCAATGTCCTGCCCTTCATCAAATCCTTTAACGTATACACAGAAGACCACTTCCTAGTCTGATTTGTTTGAAAGGTAGAGCAACAGAATGGTTGAGAGAACCACACACACAGAGATGCCATCCTTTGACCACGTCTTACCGATTTCACTGCCCCTGCTGAGGGTCAGGTGCTCAGAGACCCTGCCTGTCCCCATTGCAGGGCTGCAGCCGCAAGGACCCTTGTCTAGGTCAGACCCCATCACACCTCCGCTCAGAACCACGGGAAGGCTGTCGGTCCCATCCAGGGTAGATGCCAAGTCTTTACAACAACCTGCAAGAGCCCAGCGCTCTGAGCTCAAGCTCACTTCCCTTCTGTCCACGTGCCAGCCCCCTGGGCTCCTGGCAGGTCCTGCAGCATGCTAAACCCAACACAACACTGAGGAAGTGACTCTGCCCTTTGCCTGCACCGCTCGTTCCCCGGCTGTCCATGTGGACACCAGCATTCCTACCAGATGTGGCCTCTCGCCCGTTTCCCTCATCCCTACGTCAGACAGGGACAGGTAACACCACATCACAACAGAAACGCCCAATGCCAGTGGGCTGTGCTGGTTCTAGCACCTCATCTAGCATCTGTATCTGTACTTCCTCCAGAGACTCAGTTGCTAACTGGGAGTATTAGTTCATCCCCAAACCTCCAGGGCCCAGAAGGGCATTTCGCACTTAACACATAGAGTGAGTTGATGTTACTTCTTATCTCACCTTCCTCTGATGTCAGTTTCACGTAGTGAATTCTCTCCTGATTCTCTATGAGACAAGAAGCATGCCTTTCTCTGGAAACTCCGTCCTTCATTTCCCTTCTTCCGAACTAGCCTGGAAATGCTGTTCTCGGCTCTTTAGGAACTTGTGTGTGAATGAACAGTTGCTGCTCTGAGCTAACTCTTTTTTTTTTTTTTTTTTTTCAGATTCAAAGGAAGCAAAAAAGATGACATTCTGGGAGTTTCTTACAACAGACTGATCAGAATTGACGCAGTCACGGGGGTTCCCATCACAACCTGGAGGTTCACAAATATGAAACAGTGGAATGTCAACTGGGAAATCAGACAGGTGAGGTGAAAACTTGTGATATTCAGGCCGAGCCTGTAAATCTGTGTTTCCTCCAGGTTGCCAGTTATTCTGAGCTTACAACAGGTGTGGTCATATTTATAACCAAGAAGCCTCAAGCATGTGGTAATTACTAAAATAATCGCCTGCCATTCGGGGCCGTCTCGTAGAGCTAACACTGCTCCTGGCCTAGTCCCTACTCACACTTTCCTGCAGACTCTCAAATTGCTGAGCAATTTAATGTTCATCAACTTGGTAAGAATTGCCTAAGTCTTAGGTTAACAGTTACTCAGTAGAAACTACCTGAACTATGACTATTGGATGAAATAAATCCAAAAATAAGTAAATAAGCCCCATCTGCCTGGCTGCCAAGACAGCTGACCGGATGAGGGCTGAAAAGTTCTGCTGCCTCACTAGAAAGCACTCCAGTTCCCAAAGGGACACCCTGCAGGTGGGGTGCACGGGACCCCAGGGAACAGGCCCCATCAGCTCAGGCCATAGAACAGCCTCCTGGGATAGCCAGTCCCGGGGTTACATCATTCCAGACGAATACAGCGGCACAACGGCACCTCTGCTAATTTCACACAGTCTAATGTCGCTGCTGTAGAATCCATCCCCACCGCCAGGCATTCTCAATTCCGCAGTAGGAAACCCTCAACATACAGGGATGCTGGCTGAACCACATTTGTTTTTAAAAACCCAGGAAGCTGGGCTTGACCCAATAGTTTAGTGGCTAAAGCCCTCCTCTTGCGCGTGCTGGGTGCCAATTCATGTCCCAGCTGCTCTACTTTCCATCCGTCTCCCTGCTTGCAGCCTGGGAAAGCAGTAGAGGTTGGCCCAAAGCCTGGGGACCCTGCACCAGCGTGGGAGACCCAGAGGAGGTTCCTGGCTCTTGGTTTCAGATTGGCCATTATAGCTACCTGGGGAATGAATCAGTGAATGGAAGATCTTTCTGTCTCTCTTTCTGTCTCTCTATATATCTGACTTTCCAATAAAAAATAAATAAATATTTTTTTAGAAGTAGGAAGCTGGTAACCATGTGGGTCCTCCCTTGTAGAATGAGATGTGAACCACACTGAAGGTAGTGGCTCTAAGATTGTGATGGGTAACTTGATCGCCTGGAGAGGTTTTCTTTCTTTTCTTTTTAGATTATTATTTGAAAGACAGAGTTACAGAGAAAGGAAGGCAGAGAGAGATCTTTTCATCTGCTGGTTCATTCGCTAAATGGCCACAACATCCAGGGCTGGGTCAGTCAGGAGCCAGGAGCTTCTTCTAGGTCTCCTGTATGCGCGCAGGGGCCCAACCACCTGGAGCATCCTCTGCTGCTTTCCCAAGTGAATTCGCAGGGGGCTGGATCCAAAGTGAAACAGCCAGGACTTGAACGGGTTTCCGTAAGGGATGCTGGCATCCCAGGAGCAGACTTAGCCTGCTGCTGAGATGCAACACTGGCCTAGCCCTTAAGGGTCTTCACACACCACTCAGTGCCCAGGCCATACAGAGTATCAACTAAATCAGGCTTGCTTTGGGAGCTAGAGCCACTGGGTGACTCCGGCAGGCAGTTAAGGCTGAGAACCAGATTAACTTCGTTCAGATTAACGACATTCAGCTAGGAAGGGTCGAAGTTCATGGCTGCATGACAATTTGGGCAGGCCTTTTATTGTCCATTAAAGAGTTCACACATCCTCTCAGCACACAAACTGTCTTCTAAAGAAGACAGCGAGGCCCTGGCATGGCAGCCTAGTGACCAAAGTCTTTGCCCTGCACATGCCAGGATCGCATATGCACGCTAGTTCTAATCCTGGCAGCATCTAATCCCGGCAGCCCTGCTTCCCATCCAGCTCCCTGCTTGTGGCCTGGGAAAACCATCCAGGATGGCCCAAAGCCTTGGGACCCTGCACCCGCGTGGGAGACCCCGGGGAAGATCCTGGCTCTGGGCTCCTGGCTTCAGATCGGCTCAGCTCCGGCCACTGCAGCCACTTGGGGAGTGAATCATCGGACAGAAGATTTTTTTCTCTGTCTCTCCTCTCTGTAAATCTGCCTTTCCAACAATAAATAAATAAATAAATAAATAAATAAATAAATAAATCTTCGAGGGGAAAAAAAAAAGACAGCCAGAGTCTACAAAGCACCCACCAGCTGGGAATTTAGATTTTTACCAGGTGTGTGGTGCACTTAGCGCCACAAGAGAGCGCAAGAAGAGCAGCTCTGTCCTCTGAAGCATGCCTTCTCTGCATGCCAGGAGGCGGTGCGGGGCTGGCCAGGTCAGCTGTCCTCGCTGCCAAGGCCACGTGGGGCTGAGCAGTTTCTCTCCTGTGCTGTTCCCACCTCCCTCCTTTAGGTGGCGATCGAGTTTGACCAAAACGTCTCCATTGCCTTCACCTGCCTGAGCGCGGACTGCAAAGTGGTGCACGAGTACATCGGCGGCTACATTTTCTTGTCCACCCGCTCCAAGGACCAGAACGAGACGCTCGACGAGGACCTGTTCCACAAGCTGACCGGCGGCCAGGACTGACACAGAGGAGCAGGTCTGCCCGAGCCCGGTGACTGCACGGCAGCCGTGGCTTGTCCTCGTGTGGCTTCCAGATTAGCAGCCGCAGTGGGGGCGCGGAGAGGCAGCCGGATACTGAGCCCATGCCAAACACGCTGCCCGCACGTCCCCGCCCCTGTGCCAGCAGGGCGGAAGGGATCTCGGGGCCTTGTCCACCCACTGCGACGGAGCTCCTGCAGAGCTGTTCTTACTCACTGAGGCAGGCAGACGGGTGAAAATTACCTGCAAACCGCAAGCCCCACACACGCAGGAGGTGTGAGAAGAAATGAAGCTTTGCTTGGCGCAGCTGTTTTTATCTCCCCGGCTATGGAACTGGTGGAGTTCCCTGAAGGTCAAAGCCTAGGGTGGGAGGTGGGGTCACTCGCTATCAGTGGGCAACCGGGGGTCAGGGCCGTGACCCTCATGTCCACAGTGACACCTGCCAAGGTGACCGTTGACCCATTTGGCCTTGGTCATTGGTCCTTTGCTCCTGCAGCCACCTGCATGCCTGCCCGGGGCTCCCACAGCCCCCTTCATGTACCTCTTGAAGATACAAGTGACACAGAGGTGCAAGGAAACCCATTGCACGGATCAAGGTCTCCACTGCCACCCCGCTTCTGATCTAGAGCCCCCAAAAGCAACTCCTTGCATGGAGGACTCTGGACAAGTCTCTGGCCCCATGGCAGCAGGCAGGGGAGGCCTGTTCTGAGGGACTGACATGCCTGTTTGCAGTCCTGGCAGCCCCACCCCTCCTGGCGGCCACCATTCACTCCACATTCTGGATCTAGCCTCTGTTCCTACGACTCTCGGAGCTCTCCCCACCAGCCTCTGTGGCTTGCCTGCAGAAGCAGTAATGGACCTCGCTCCCTGCCCATCAGGGTGTCATCCCCAACCAGGAACGTGAGGCATGTTCACAGCCGCCTGGACCATCTGCTCCTGGTCCAGTCTCCAGTGATTTTGAGATGAGCAACAGTAGAACAGAACGGGAAACAGAAAAATGTTTCGTGTGATGTTCAGACAGTCTCCCCCCCATGCAAAGAAAAGTGGGTTGCTAGGATACGGTAAAGACTCCGCAGTTCCAGCCTTCTGGGCCTGGCCCAAGCTCAGGTGCCCACAAGCCCCAGATGTTGCTCTCACCCCACGAAGCCACCTGAGAATGGACAGTGTGCAGAGAGCCGTGGGCAGCGTCCTCTGCCCTGAGCCAGAAGTTGCAGTCGCTCTGGGAGGCATGGCTGTCCACCTGTCCTTACAGAGTAGGGTCGGGAAGCTGCTGGGCATCAGCTGGCTGGGTGAGGTCAAGCCTGGCACTCCCTGGTGGCCTAAGCACGGGTCAAACCCACGGGTTCGTATCACCGGGAACTTCATTGGCGAGCTCAGTGTGCTGTGTGTGGCCAGTCGTGGCAGCCAATGGGTCCCACGATGGTAACTGCATTCAAAGGGTACTCCTTGATGCGTGCTGTCACCTGCTCGCTGCCTGGGAAGACCCCGCCCGTCCTAGCAAAGCCTCCGGCTGGGTTCTCTTCCCTCTGTTTCCTTGATTGACAGTTCCAGAAGTCTCATGGCAATGGACTACTGTTAACCGTAGGGGAGAGGGTGCCACATCCCAAAGAAATAAACAAGGGAGAAAAAAACCTCAGAGCATCACTGCTCCAAAGAGCAGCTTTGCTGGGCCTCGGCGCAGTAGCCTAATGGCTAAAGTCCTCGCCTTGCACACACCGGGATCCCATATGGGTGCCGGTTCTAATCCAGCTCCCTGCCTGTGGCCTGGGAAAGCAGTGGAGGACGGCCCAACGTCTTGGGACCCTGTACCTGCGTGGAAGACCCACAAGAAGCTCCTGACTTCAGCTCAGCTGTATTTCAAAGAGCAGCTGAGGGATGTTGTTCCTTTTATATTGGGTGCAAAAGGAATCTGACTTCCTGTTGGGAAAGGTTAAGTGATGCCTTTTAGTATAGTCTGGTTTTATAAACAAATTTTCAGGTTTTATATAAAAGAATTATTTTATATGACTTTTTTTTCAGTAAAAGTCTTCTATGGATTTGAATTTGGTCCACTGGTGTCCTTTCCCACTTCCTGTCACTAAAACAATGATACAGCTTTCCAGTCCACCTTGGGCCCCTCCCCACAATTCCAAGATTCTAGCTCCTTCCACAGCCCCAGCCCTGGCTGCCCGAGGGTGTGGGAAGGTCTCTTGGGTCCTCAGATTCCCTTGGACCTCACTTAACCTTCACGCTTAGTTTCCGCTCCTTCTCCCTGGCTCTGCCTCCAGATGTCCCGAGCCACTCTGCCCGGTCAGGAGAGCCTTCCTCCCTTCTAGCTCAACCTCTTGGAAAAGGCAGAAGACAGCAGGCCATTCGAGGATACTTCCAGGAGTTGGTGGGAAATGGGACTAAGTGATGCATCTTATGACGTGTTGCAGAAACTATTGCGAAATCCGTGCTGACACAGGGTCTTGGACAAGCTCACGGAAAATACACGTTAGGGGGGAAAGCTGCAAATATCCAAGATTGTCTGTGTCCCAAGTGGAACAGCAGCAAGAGAACGGAGAGGGTGAGCTGAGCCGTGGGCATCAGGCCATAGCCCGGGAGGTGGAGAGGGTGAGCTGAGCCCCAGGTGCCAGGCCACAGCCCGGGAGGTGGTGAGGGGTGAGCTGAGCCGCGGGCACCAGGCCATAGCCCAGGAGGTGGAGAAGGTGAGCTGAGCCCCAGGCACCAGGCGCCAGGCCCCAGCCCGGGAGGCACTTCCCTGCAGCCACCTCCTGTGCTCTGGGGACTGTTCCCAGGCTAGCGATGTCCTCCTTACTGGATATTTCCACGATGACCTGCCCATTCCCATGAGCCCTGCATCATTTGCTTCAAATTCATTGATCTCTTAGTTCCATTTTTGCATGAACTCTTGGGTAGGTCCTGTGTCCAGAGGGCAGCCTAAGTGCTCCCACCTGGATGAAGGACACATTTTGGTTTTAGCCACAAAGGGTAATCCCTGGAGCAGATCTCAGATGCAACCTTAGTCAGCAGAACCGTGTGTCCTTACCTTGTGAGTGAAACAAAAGGAGCTCAGAAGGAAGGAAGCATAAGCTACTCAGGGGCCAAAGCCAGGTGCATCTTACTGCACTTAACCCCCCAGCCACCCTGGCCCTCCTTCCCCAGCCCTGCTCAGCAGGCTGATGCCGCGAGCTCAGAATCCCCAGGCTGGCCTCCTGCTGGAAGCAGGGAGTATCTGCCCCAGAGTTTGCCGGGCCATCCAGGGTCCACTCAACAAAAAGTGAGGGGCTTCGCGGGTATTTCCTCTTGACTCTGGGGAAGCATCACCCTCAGACCCAAGCCTCTAGACGGCTTGCCAGGTCGCCGTCAGCACAGGAAGCCAAGGCAGTAATTATTTTCTGAACTCACTAGGATACTTTTTCTTTCTCTCTCTCTCTCTCTTTTTTTTTAACACATTTATTTTGGATTGAAAGGCAGATTTTACAGTCAGAAGGAAAGAAAGAGGAAGAGAGAGAGAGAGAGAGAGAGAGAGAGACAGAGAGAGAGCTTGCATCTGCTGGTTCATTCCCACCATGGCCAGAGTGGCGCTAATCTGAAGCTGGGAGCCAGGCCGCTTCCTCTGGGTCTCCAAGTGAAGTGGCCAAGACACAAACTAGTGCCCACGTCGGATGCAAGCACAGCAGGCAGAGGATTAGCCCACCACACCGCCGCACTCACCCCGAGCGTATTCTTGCGTACAATTACTTCCTTTTCATTTCTGTGTTCACTGTATTCATATTCGTTTTCATTTCTTTCCACTCTGTCATGGTATTCTTTCCTGCCCCCACTCCCCTCTGCATCACCCCAGTGGAAGAGGGAGGAGGCGCCCTTCCTTGGCTTTTCCGCCTATATCCTCCCACCGCAGCCTCCAAGGGGAGGCCTCCACCCTGCTGTGTGACGGCTTCTTGCTGTGTCTCGCTTAGGTGAGGCCGTGGGCAGACACTGAGCGCTACGGACGCGGACGCACGGCGGCTGGGCTGGGGGAGCAGCCCGTGGCTTGGCCTGCGCTGGCCCGAACCGCCGCTGGCCCTGGGACAGGAGCTCCGCAGACGTCTCTCCTTCTTCCTTTTCCTTTCTGCTTTTTAGCAAAAACCCTCCTTGCTAAATGAAGGGGAGGAGCCATGCCCCGGGGAGCCCAGAGTTGCACGGCAGGCAGCGCCAGCCCCAGGTGAGACAAGGGCTCCAGAGCGGCCGCCTGGTCTGGCATCTGGGGCAGCTGCCGAAGGCGCTGCTTGGGTCGCCGGCAGCCCCCCTCACGATGCCTGGCCTCACTCCCAGATCCTCTGCTTTGAATTCAGCTTCCTGCTCATGCGTACCTGGGCAGCAGCAGGTGGGCCACGCTCCAACCACCTGGGGCCTTGCCACCCACAGCGGACACACGAGTGGGTTTTCAGGTGTCTCTGGCTTTGGCCTGGCCCAGCCCCTGGCTGCTGTAGTCAAGTGGGGAATGAACAAATAGAAGGAAGATCTCGTCTGTCTCTCTGTCTTTATTTCTCTTTGCCTTTCATGGTAAATTAATTATTATTTTAAAAAATAATAATAAGGGGCCAGGTGCAGTAGCCTAGCAGCAAAAGTTCTCACTAGCATACTCAGGGATTCCTTGTGGGTGCCAATTTGTGTTCCGGCTGCTCCACTTCCCATCCAGCTCCCTGCCTGTGGCCTGGGAAAGCAGTCAAGGACGGCCCAAAGCCTTGGGACCCTGCACCTGTGTGGAAGACCCAGAAGAAGCTCCTGGCTCCTGGCTTCAGACTGGCTCAGCTCCTGCCATTGCAGTCACTTGGGGAGTGAGTCATCGGATAGAAGATCTTCCTCTCTGTCTCTCCTCCTCTCTGCATATCTGACTTTCCAATAAAAAAATAAATCTTTTAAAGTAATAATAGTAAGGCTAGTTGGCCTGGTTTTTGCTCTTATCTCGAGCAGTGACTGCAGCCCCCGCGGCAGAGCTCTCGGGCTCTCACTGACCC